GGAAAAATTCGAAAAATTTTCAGAAAAATTATTCAGAAAATTTTCTCACTCGTGCCACATTAAAGCCAGAGCCAGAAATATAATTTATTCATTTTCTCTAAGGTTGCCAGAAAGCGCCAAGAGAAAATGGCCAAATCAGACCTAAAAACGGCCAAATCACACCAGAATAAAGCCAAAAACGGTCTTAAGATATAGGAGTAATCGGTGAACTTCTAATCAGCGGTGCAACAATTTAATTTCTAGGTTTCGTTAGCTCGTAAAAATTATTTTAGATTTAAGGAATCCTTACATATTTTTGCCAGCTACTTTAATTGGCAAAAAAGGCCCAAACAGGAAAATGTGAGAGAGAAAATATTTCTACCACCTCTGGTTGAAAAAAGCATGTGCCCAGTTCTTATAATCATTTTCTATCATTCTATCATTCATAGTATCATTCTATTAATTATTCTAATTTTTTAAAGTTCTAATTATCAGAAAGATAAGCGACATTGTACTAGATCTATCATCATCGACGCAATCATTCATAAAACATTGGGTCACCGGGGCAAAATAGACATAATATAGCCTAAATATAATTCAGGCTTCAATAGAACTTATGATCATCAATATTATTCTTAGGATCCAGCTGCACATATTTCCGATATTTTATATTATCTTTGAACCCCTTACAAGCGAGGCCAGGCTTCGTATTTACGATCAATGATTTGTTGGTCGCAAAAAGTTGCAATATTGAAAGAAAACCAATAATTAATGACTAGCCTATTGAGAGGCTAGCAGCGGCAGCCTGCACCTAATTGAGAGGCTAGCTGCGGCAGCCTGCACCTAATTGAGAGGCTAGCTGCGGCAGCCTGCACCTAATTGAGAGGCTAGTGGCGGCAGCCTGCACCTAATTGAAAGGCTAGCTGCGGCAGCCTGCACCTAATTGAGAGGCTAGCTGCGGCAGCCTGCACCTAATTGAGAGGCTAACTGCGGCAGCCTGCACCTAATTGAGAATCTGAGCAGTGGCCACAGTGGCCACCTTTTAAATGTCTATTGGCCGCCTGTAAACAATTTATGATTTAAAGGCACATTACGACTAATCACAACGTAACGACTAATATTGAAGCATCGTATCCAAAATTTCTTTCTGATTTTCGCCATTCGTTTGGAAAGCTTTTGTGGAAGTTCGGTTGTTGTTCATAGAATTACGATTGTAATTTTCATCCACGAAGTAGAATTTCCTGGCTCTCGAGATGGTATTTAGATAAAAGCTTCGAGTGTTTCAAGTGCGACGCTACAAGTTTTCAAGTGTCATCAGGAGTAAATGCTTTCACTGAAATTTGTGTTTATCGTAAAGATAGTTCAGGGGCTCTGAAGATGATAATTTAAACTTAAACATTATACTGTATCTACATTATAATGTATCTACACCGTAGATACATTGTAATGTTTAAGCTGTTTAGTTTAATTCATTACTGCAAATTCTACCGTAATGAATATCACACATCATTCACTTTTATCATGAATTTAAAAGCAAAGAAAACGTCAAGCAAATTCACCATATAGAATAGAAAGAATAGAAATGTCGGCACTGAAAAAATAGGCCCATGGCCTGTTGCCTGCTCATGAAAATTTTTTATTTAATATATAGTATTTTTATTGAGTATATTTTTATTTTACCTTGCGCTTTAAATTAAATCTTTTAAATTGTTCGTGAATTTGAGCCGACTAATAATAAAAGTACTTATTCTCTTTATTTATCCTCAATTCGCTTGTTTAAACACAATTTACAGTACCTCTTTTCAAGAAGGCGACACTGACGGTAGCGTTTCAGTGTTACAATCATCAACGATTAAAACGAATTTTGTTTTAAATAAAATTGCGTCAACGAATGAATATTATACACGAAAATACAAGAGGTTCCTGAGCTTAATAAATCTATTTTGTCCATTTTATACCATCAGGTTAACATATACTTTACGTTAAAGTTCAAATTTCAACGGCAAGTTTTTAAATATTCCGTTGGCAATATCCGCAAAGTCACTATTCGAATTTAAGTGTTAAAAATCTCACATACCTGTGAATTTAATGTCATTATTGCAACTCAAAAACCTGATGACATCAGCTCAACTTCAGAATTGCCGAAGCTGAAAATTAATAATCTTTCCGTGTGAATTTCAATTTCCGGAAACTCAATTTCCGGTGGAGCGCAAATAATGGGAACGCTGACGAGAAAATTTCACAGTAATATTTCGTACGTCTTATAGGTAGCCAATCAGTGGCCACCAATGAAACACTTGAAATTTATTCACTACCAAGGAATTTTATTTCTCTATCAAAATTGTTTACTTTATTTACGAATATCATTTCAAATAATTTTCTACATTTCTGAAGAGAACTGTGATAAGATCATCAACTAAAACGAAAAATTTAAAAATAGATTTAAAAATAAGGCATTATTACGAAAAGAATATCTAGAGTTCATTGCTAATCTTTAGAAAACTTCCCGAATTTAGTTAAAGCTGATAATATTTTCCATTAATTTAAGTAGAATTAAATAAAACACTTCACGAACACTCAAATTATTATATAAATTTATCGAAGGTTGTTGGCGCTCCAATGAATTAAAGGGATTAAGGTTAGTAAAATTTATCGAAAGGGTGCTGAGGGGATGGTACTGAGGGAAAGGTGCTGAGGGGAAGGTGATCACAGAACGTGGAGGTAAGTCCTGACATGCGAGTTCATTTCATTACTTGAATAGTTTGCTTGAAACTCTCATACAAGTATCTTTCCGTACGGTCTATATAGTATTTATTGTTACTTATCATCAATATTTTCTATGTATTTCCATCTAGTCTGTGTTGTCCATATTGCTATTAATAGTGCTACCTTGTGTCATCTTATTCTATACTAGGTATAAATAGTTTTTGATAATTTTTCAACACAACTATTCGTACTTTTTGTATTCTAATCGTCTGCTAAACATTCTGCAAAATTACTGCTTGCGATAGTTTTTTATGTATAATGTTATTATAAAATATTAAATAAACTGATGCCACTTCTGACTCCTCCTCTTGTAAAATGTTAACGTTACACACAGTGGATGTGATCGAAATCGATAAAGCGACTTAAAGAAGGTTTACGACGTAAAGAAGGTAAACCAAAAAGGTTAACCTGTAGGTTTCAGTGTCAGCTTAGACTAGGCCATGCTGACCTGCCAACGATTATTGACCGCCCTCCCAACATGAGGTTTCCGACCTGAATTTCCACAGCCAGTTGCGGTCTTGAACCCGCAAGTCTTACTTTGATCTTGATGATTTAGGCGGCATAGTCGGAAGTATGGAAGCTCATAACATGGAATGGGACGTGAAATGGGATTCCATGACATGGAATGGGACGTGAATAGGGTTTTTTAATTGGCAATGATAAAGGCTTGCAATAGGATACCAAATAGGAGCTATTTCATGATTATACGAAGCGTGAAATAGTATTATGGTAAGAGTTGTTGGTTCCTAAAAGATAGCAACGATGCCAATCCTATAAACCAGATTGCTATTCGATCGCTACCTCGTGATGCACATGAAATATTTTTTATATATTCAAGAAGAATTATTTTGATAATGAAATTGTATAAGATTACATTGTTCACCACCCAGAATATATTTATACAAGTAAAGATAGGTTGTAGTATCAAATGTTTCTACGACTAAGATGGAGATGAAAGGTCCATTAAAATCTTCAGGTATTTGTTCAAATAATAAATGGATAGAACGACTTTAAAACTGTTTAGCAAGTCTGAAAAGAAGCTATAATTGTCAATTGACTGAATAAATTTCAATTTTTTCAGCATTTTTGCAATCAATTTGTAAGAAACATATGCCGAAAATATTCGGAAGCTAAGCCACCGTGTCGTAGTACATCATTACGTACAGGACCTAACAATAAGTAGGCCTACGATAGAAATACTAGAGATTATAGAAGGTGAATAAGGCCTTTACCTTCAACCATTTTATCCTTGTCAACTAAAGGTAACTCACATTACCAGGCATTTTAGGTTAAGCTTCTTAGACCAACTTAGCACCTTAGTCTTAAGTAAAAATAGCATTGAAGACGGTAAATGTATGCGTATAAAAAGCTTTAGCAGTTGTCTACAGAAGATAACTCTGATTACCAGATGTTAAGAGTACACTTAAAATTGATGAGTTATTATATTATTAACTATTAATAACGGTTATCCGTGGCCTTAAGCCTGAATGAACATAAGAATCGACGACATAGACTGGCATCCCTGAAGAGTAACTCTAAAAATTCAACGAATACAAAATTTTTTAAGAGGAACTTTCAAGAATTGGATGCACTTCTTACTTCAGCCTTCTTGTATGAAAATTAAAGAAGCACGATCAGATCAGGTTATTAAGTAGAGAACAAATTTCTTCAACTTTATTGCAAAACAGAATTTCATAAGAGGAGGAATGATCGTAAACAGTAGGTAACTGATATCAAATTCCACCGTGGGTGTACAAGCACGATTCGAAAATGGCCGTTTCCATCAAAAATCGAATGAATGCTCAAGTTTTTTTAACACACAAGAACGATGAGACGTTAAATTTCTCAATTTTAACGTGTAAACGAGAAAATCCAATGATAGTTGCAGTGAACGATTATTAAAAAATGTAATAATAAATAATCTTTTTAGTCATTATTATCGTTATATTATTTTCAAAATCTAATAACTTCAAAAATTAATCAAGTTAGCCCGATTTCAAGAGAATTGGTCGTAAGCGAAAACCGAACTTCACCTAACAAAGTTCATAATATGTTCCGCATATCCATTAATATTCTGAAATGCACAATATTGAAAGTGAAATAATATATCTAAAACTACAAGATATCATTCATTGTCTCCTAATCTCTATTAAAACTAAAATAAAGAAAAAAACTATACGGAACAAAATCTAAATTTTCAATTAGCAAGTCGACTTTTTTTTTACTGATTATAAACATTTAAAATGAATGTCACAAATGCGGTGAACCCCAAATTCAAAAATTTCAACTAGAGAAATAAATCATCATTTCATTTACAAGCCATTGATCCGAAATATCAACATTAATGATCGTCTAATGCAACCATTGATATCAAAATCATTGCTCAGTATTTCTAGCTGGATAATGATTCTAAAACTAGAGGAAAAATCGCAATTTTTTAGCATAAATAACGGGTGTTCGAGCTTAACGATTATTGGAAGAAAGAATCGTGTGCCTTCTTGAATCAAAATACATAAAATGTAAAAATTATGCTAACTGTAGTGCTCTCAGACAAATTACCGGATCATTTTCTCCACATCCTGACATTTTATTTCCCACGGCACGAGGAGAGAGCGGACTTAGCACTGATACTCCCTATTGCCGGACCAAACTGAGTCGCAGGATGATCCACACACACAAAAAAGTGCATCATTATTTGGACATCGTTACACTCATGTTTCTGAGTGTGTGCAAGAGACCATGCACCTGAAGATAACAAAATTTTTAAAGATGGAGACTTACTTTTTACCATGTGTGTTTGTTGGAATAGCATTGTGAAAAACGTTTTACTTTCATATAAATATGAATAGAAATATTCATACGTTTTTTCTTTCTTGAATCCTGACGAGTCTAACTTCATCATCACTTTAAAAAAAAATATTCAACTTTTTCAAATATGGTAATATTTGAGAAAACCTTAGTCCTGCACAAAACCCTTAGGCCTGCACAAAACCCTTAGGCCATCACAAAACAATTAGGCCTGCACAAAACCCTTAGTCCTGCACAAAACCCTTAGGCCATCACAAAACAATTAGGCCTGCACAAAACCCCTAGGCCTGCACAAAAGTGTAGGCCTGCACAAGCCCCTAGGCCTGCACAAAAGTGTAGGCCTTGACAAGCCCCTAGGCCTGCACAAAAGTGTAGGCCTTAACCAGCCCCTAGGCCTGCACAAAAGTGTAGGCCTTAACCAGCCCCTAGGCCTGCACAAAAGTGTAGGCCTTAACCAGCCTGTCGAAGTCGTCCTCCCGGGCGCGCAGGTCGCGCAGGATCTCGTGCGCAGCGTGCGAGTCGCGCAGCTGCGCCAGGTAGCGCGACGACACCTGCGGTAACAGGGGCGTTATCTTCAGTATCTTGATGATTAACTTGGACGTTACCTTCGTTATCTTAATGGTTAACTTGGACGTTATCTTAATGGTTAACATGGGCGTTATCTTCACTATCTTAATGGTTAACATGGACGTTATCTTCATTATCTTATTGGTTAACATGGGCGTCATCTTCGTTATCTTAATGATTAGCATGGGCGTTATCTTCGTTATCTTAATGATTAGCGTGGGCGTTATCTTCGTTATCTTAATGATTAGCGTGGGCGTTATCTTCGTTATCTTAATGATTAGCGTGGGCGTTATCTTCGTTATCTTAATGATTAGCGTGGGCGTTATCTTCGTTATCTTAATGATTAGCGTGGGCGTTATCTTCGTTATCTTAATGATTAGCGTGGGCGTTATCTTCGTTATCTTAATGGTTAACATGGATGTTATCTTCGTTATCTTAATGATTAGCGTGGGCGTTATCTTCGTTATCTTAATGATTAACATGGACGTTATCAACATCTTAATGATTAACATGGACGTTATCTTCGTTATCTTAGTGATTAAGATGGGCATATTAATGGTAAACATAGACATTCTTCATTATCTTCATGATTAACATAGACATACTAATGGTTAACATGGACGTTATCTTCATTATTTTAGTGATTAACATGGATGTTATCTTCATTATCTTAGTGATTAACACGGGCGTTATCTTCATTATTTTAGTGATTAACATGGATGTTATCTTCATTATCTTAATGGTTAACATGGACGTTATCTTCATTATCTTAGTGATTAACATGGACGTTATCTTCGTTATCTTAATGGTTAGCATGAACATTATCTTCATTATCTAAATGATTAACAGAGACGTTATCTTCATTATCTTAATGGTTAACAATCGACACATTGATGGTTAACATAGACAGTACCTTAAAATAGGGTAACTTAGACCACTTTTCGTTTTTTTAACAAAAACCCCCAAAACTTAAAAATTATTTGACATAGAAAAATTTTGTCAATGGGCATTAAAGGCCTAATACTGAGGCTACATAACACAATAGAAAAATTTAAAAATTTTGCATATCTAATAGGTCAAAAAATTAAAAATGTGACCCGCGAAAAAAAGCTATTATTTAAAGCCTGTCAGAGTACCCCCTCCAATTTTTTTATTTTTTGGTTAAATAACTCCAGGTTTTGATGCATTGTAGTAGAACTCTTCTAGTTACATATGCAAATGACAAATTTTAGGAAAGTGTCATAGTTTGCAAATGGGGGGCGCCGCCCCCAAATGGGGTAACTTAGACCACCTAATGTCAGCCCTGACGGGGTAACATAGACCGGCTTGGAAGTTAATATAAAATTACCATATATAACATATTTTATGTTTGACAGCCTATTTATGTTTTTTCTTTATGTTTCAGACTCTACAGAGTCTTATATATGGTAATTTTAACTTAATTTCCAAGCCAGTCAATATTACCCCATCAGGGCTGCCATTAGGTAGTCACATTTCCCTCATTATGGGGCGGCGCCCCCCATTTGCAAACTATGACACTTTCCTCAAGTTTGTCATTTGCATATGTAACTAGAAGAGTTCTACTACAATGCACCAAAACCTGGAGTTATTTGGAGTTATTTTACCAAAAAATATAATTGATTTTACCACCCGGTCTAAGTTACCCCAAGAGCTGGGGTAACAAAGACCATCACTTTTTTTGAAATTACATAAAGACTATGTCTGTCTCTTATACACATCTAGATGTGTATAAGAGACAGGTATAGACCTGTATTTTGCATGTTTCAATTCAAGTTTAATTTAGCTAGTAAAAAAATGGCATCATTTAAAAAAAAGTGGTCTAAGTTACCTCATTTTACGGTATCTTCATTATCTTAGTGATTAACATAGAAACATTAATGGTTAACATTGACCTCATCTTTCTTATCTTACAGATTAACATAACCGGAAAAATGGCGGACAAATCATGCATACATTAGTTAATCAGAAATATTTGTGCAAGCGATAATCTCAAATATTATAACACTGATCTTGCAATCGTTCATAAAAATCGTATTGATCGTCCTACTAACACCACGCAAACAAAGAATTTCATTATCATAATGGTAATGATGGGCAATTCACAATACATATACGTAATTGAAATATCAATTCAAGTATCATAATAATGGCCATCATCATGTATTAACAACTCATTCTGTTGCACTAGTAGTATAATTTATAATACTTGCAATATAATCTTTTACACTAGCAATATAATCTACTGTACTAGCAATATAATATGTTGCCCTAGCAATATAGGTAATCTATGGCACAAGCAATCTAATCTATTGCCAGTTGCCCTAGCAATATAATCTATTGCACTAGCAATATAATCCATTACACTAGCAAAATAATCTACTGCCATAGCAATTTAATCAATGGTATTAGCAATATAATCTATTGCCCCTAGTAATATAATCTATTGCCCTAGCAATTTAATCCATTGCCCTAGCAATATATTCTATGGCACTAGCAATATAATCTATTGCCCTATCAATATAATCTATTACACTAGCAACAATCTACAACACCAGCAATATAATCTATTACACCAGCAATATTATCTAATACACTAGCAATATAATCTATTACACTAGCAATGTTATCTATTACACTAGCAATATTATCTACAACACCAGCAATATAATTTATTAAAAATAGGTATAATCTATCTATCTACAAAATAAATATAGGTAATCTATTTATTATTTATAATAAACAACAACACCAGCAATATAATCTATGGCACTAGCAATATAATCTATTATAAATATAATCTATCTATCTATAAAGTAAATATAATCTATTTATTATTTATAATAAACAACAAAACCAGCAATATAATCTATTACACTAGCTATATAATCTATTACATGAGNATTATATTATTTATTCAAAATATAATCTATTTATTTATTATAAACTACAACACCAGCAATATAATCTATTGCATCAGCAACTTCATCTATGGCACTAGCAACATAATCTACAACACCAGCAACATAAACAACACCAGCAATATAATCTATGGCACTAGCAATATAATCTATTATAAATAGAATCTAGCTATCTATAAAATAAATATAATCTATTTATTATTTATAATAAACAATAACACCAGCAATCTATTAATAACACCAGCAATCTATTAGACCAGCAACATAAACTACAACACCAGCAATATAAACAACATCAGCAATATAATCTATTATAAATATAATCTATCTATCCATAAAATAAATATAATCTATTTATTATTTATAATAAACTACAACACCAGCAATATAATCTATGGCACTAGCAATATACCGTAATCTATTATAAATATAATCTACCTATCTATAAAATAAATATAATCTATTTGTTATTTATAATAATCTACAACACCAGCAACATAATCTATTACATCAGCAGGCTTGGCGGTGTGCTGGGCCAGCACCATGAGGTTGACCAGCGCGTCGGCACAGTTCGGGTCCTTGTCCAGGGCCTCCTGCAGGGCGGCCTCAGCCTCCTCCGTCTTGCCCTGCGCAAAAATAATCTTATTAATTAACAACAACAACAACCATCATTTTTATTCACGTACTACGGTATATTAGATTAGTAAACCAATATTCATACACAACTTTATTAGTTCAATATAGCGCAATAGCTTAACTCAAGGCCTCCTTCATTGTGACCAAGCCAATAACAATTCTTAATTTACAAAATATTTCTATTCAAAGAATCATTGTAATTGTACTCATTACTAATATACAACTTTATATTAGTAGTTTAGTATAGCCACACACTGCACCTTCTCGGTCATGCCATGCCATGAGGAAAAACAATAATTACTTCACAACTTAGTGAACTGCACAGACAGTGACTGGCAACTGACTGCAGAGACGAGTAGCAGTAGGTGTTACCTGGCCCACTATAACCATTCACAAATAATAGGTAGATATAACATTGAATTGAAATGAATAATTATGAATAGAGGTAAGTATTGTACGCATGTGAGGCAGAGAGGGAAGGAGGAGTATGGGCACCACACCTGACCTAGAGCCAACCAGGCCCATGACCCACCAGGCCCATGTCCCACCTGGCCAATGACCCACC